TTTTTTTTTTTTTTAATGAATCGTGTAATTTCATTTCAGAATTTTTGGTAATTGGGTTGTATACTTGTGTTTTTAATTTTGGGTGAAAATCTTTTGTGTTCTTGATTTGGTTCACAGTTTCGGTTTTGGTTTTTGTTTATGATACCGAATTGAACCTCTGCTAGATGACGAATCACTGTTTGATCCATTGCAAGATCTAAAGCAACTTCTACCGAACACATTTTTAGTCATTGCCAAATACGAGAACGAAAAAGAAAAGATGGAATAGATAACTCATTGGCGCAGTTATTGCCGTTGAATCATGCATGAAAGCTGTTTTAAACTATCCAAGAAAAGGGGACTGTGCGGGCATGATTGCTGAAACTTTACTGTAGGATATTACAGTGGTTTCTATTTATAGTCCTTTAGGTGATTTTGGTTTACCTTTGCTGTTAAATATTTCTTGAAAAGTAATTTTTGTTTAAGTAACTTAGTATCTTAAGTGGAAATTAGGTTATTCTTCTTAGGATTTTTTATTTGAATTTAGCAACTAGGGTGAGGTAGGAGAATAGGCTCGAGAATTTTCTACTGTTGGTTCCCATTTTATATAGTTTTGGGGTTTTTGAGATTGAGATGCTTACGCTGTAACAAATGTATGGCCATGTGCTGGAGGGTTGTAGTTTAGATTGTAATTAGACAAGTTGATCACAGACATCTCCATTCCATAATGAGGAGAAGATGAGAAGTCCTTCCCTTTTCAAGCAGTAAACGTCTACTAAGATAGAGAAATATTAATATTTAGCTCTTGTTTGGTTGTGATTAAAATTCAGATTTTAATCTAAGTCAAAGTCACCAATCAATTTTTTAATCACATAAAACTTTATGGATTCCACTACTTTTCAACCATACATTTCATCAACTTTTTATCAAATTTACTAAAAATCTGATTTTAATCCCACCAAACAGGACTTAAATTAAGAACTGAATCTGGTTGCTTTTTATCTTACAAATGGTAGTGGGAATAGAGTAATATCTCCTTAATTGTAGTCTCTGATTTTGAAACATTTTTTAGGGTGCGTTGAGATTAGTATGACATTGATAGCTAATGTTGACATCAAGATGTACATAATAGCCTAGATTAGTAGAAATATTGGAGCTCTAGACTGCTTGTATCTAATTAGATCTCCTTTGTACTAGTTTCCTTGATGATTTCCAGTATTACATAATACAATATTCCTTTTCTTCTCTCTTTGCGCTATTTTGATTGGAAAGTGTCCTGTTCCCCTTAAAAATTCTTGAATTTAGTGAAAGATGAAAGACTATTTTAGTTGCAATACCATGTTTTTTCAGAGCAAATTACCATTTTTAGCGTTTTCTGAATCAATTAGATCTGCAGTGAACATGGTAATAC